CTGTGAAAACGCAAAAAGCGCCTACAGTGGCTGTCAGGGAGATCGCAACTAGAGGCAGTCTTAACCCTGCAATGTAAACATTACAGTTTCTCTGCTAAGACTAGAGTTGAGCGGACACCTGGATGTTCGGGTGCGGTGGGTTCGACCGAACTTTGAAAAAAAAAAAGTCCAGGTTCAGGCTCGAACTTGACCCCAAACCTCATTGTAGTCAATGGGGACCCGAACTTTTGGGCACCAAAAATGTACGACGGGTGGAGGCCCTAAATAAGAATGTGGATGGGGGGGACCTACTGTCCTCCTCCCCCGGCCCCCATCTCTGAACGGCAGATGGGGGCCCTAAATAACAATAAGGGGGGGACCTACTGTCCTCACCCCTCAGCCTCCACCCCTGAGCGGTGGGTGGGGGACCTACTGTCCTCCCCCTGACCCCCACCCCTGATTTCCTTTACAGGAGCACTCCAAGCACCATAACCACTACAGCTTATCATGTTACCAGAAGTTCCCTGGTGCCATCTATTATAAGTAGTCAGTTTGTCTCCTCTCAGCCATCAGAGAGCCAGAAGCTCATACTTAGGAGCTTCCGTTCACTTTCATGAGCTAAACCTCCAGATTTAGGGTGGATTGACTGCATCACACCTCCTTTACCATCTCAGTTTGGGTTTACCTCAGTTTGCTTCTCCCTGAAGCCTGTATTTACTAAGTTGGTTTGACTACTTACATTTGGGAGGGAGGCACCAGGGCACACCTGGCACCATAACCACTACAGCACACTGTAGTTGTTGTGTTGCTTGGAGTGTTCCTTTAATTATCCCAATTTCCCTACATTCCCATCATTATGGGCATATACACAAGTTCTAGTTCTTTGGACCACTTCTGAGCTGAAGTGGTCTGGATGCCTACAGTGTCTCTTTTAACTAAATCCACATAGAAAGCTAAAATATGTGGTATATCTACAACTTCCATTTTTATTTTCTATTTGTTTCCAAATAAATATATGCTAAATTAATTTAAAGCAATATTCCTGTGTCTTTAAGAAAGAAATATAACTAATTGAATTAACACTATCGGGGTTATACACTTAAATGAGAATTATCAAATTTTTCTAACGCAGCTATTGTGGCCCAAATTTGAAATTCACTTTGAATTCCCAACAATTCTCACTATAATGAATAACCCTATATATACAGGGTAGCTTCACACACAAATCGTGTAAGCTAAATCATTATTTTAGTCAGGCTCAAATCCTGCAGGAACGCGTGGGAACAAGATTCTTGAATGAATATATATATATATTTTTTATTTTTGTAGCAGGAACACTGTGCTTGCAGGACTTGACCCCTGATACAGTCACGGCTTTCAAATCATTGCTGCAGATTATTACGGCAACACTCCAACACTGTACTCTGCCGGGGCTTGCAAAAAGAGTCTAGGTACCCGGCCAGGGCCATCGCTTTAGTTCCAGAGAGCAGCGCATGCACTCTGGAACACTATGGGACGGGGGGAGGGATGGAGGGAGAACACTATGGGACGGGGAAGTTTTTCCATATTAGATTCATTAAATTCAATAAAAAGTCTTATATTAATAAAATTATAGGAAAAAAAAACATTTTAAAATAATTTGGGGGAACAAAAGTCATTTTCGGTTTACGGCCAATGGCATCCTGAATTTTTGGTTTAGGCCCAGAATTTTCATTTTGGTGCATCCCTATTAAATGGCTACCCTTATGTTTGATTGTCCTATTTAAGGATGAGGGAGCTACACTGCACACATAGGTGAATGACATTGCATATGACGGTGTGCCTGTATGGGCAATTAACTGTACGCATGTGTGAAATGATTAGTGTATATGACTGTGTGCATGCATGGGTAATTGACCGTGTATATCAGGGGTGGCCAAACTTCAAGTCCATAAGAGCCTCATGTTACAATTTAGAAATATTCCCTCCATGTGTCTGGTTTCCCCCAGGCTCCCTCGGTGTGTCTGGTTTCCCCCAGGCTCCCTCGGTGTGTCTGGTTTCCCCCAGGCTCCCTCGGTGTGTCTGGTTTCCCCCAGGCTCCCTCGGTGTGTCTGGTTTCCCCCAGGCTCCCTCGGTGTGTCTGATTTCCCCCAGGCTCCCTCGGTGTGCCTCATTCCCCATGTGTCTAATTTCTTGCCTATCCCCCATGTGCCAGCTTACCTCCTACTTTTGGTGTGACCGAGCCACGTACTGGGATAGAGGCACTTGATTGCCTCTCCCCGGTCTGCAAGGAAGCAGCTCTGCGTGTTCAGTGTGTTCCTCTACTCCAATCAGTGGCTCTGCCATGCTGCATGCAAAGAATGGCAGGAGGGGAGCGCTGTGCATTGTGCGGTCCTCTTGCTGGTCAGTCAGGTACTGCGTCCCCTGGGCTGGTATGCCCTATTGAGTCCGCCTGTGCTACCTTATGGTAGAGCTGACTAAGAAAAGTGCCACAAACGGCATTGGACGGTCTGCAGAGCCACATGCGGCTTGCGAGCCACAGTTTGGCCATGTGTGGTGTATATGACTGCATGTATGGGCCAATAATCGTGTGTATGCATGGGTTAAAGACAGTGTGCACTACTAAACCGCGTCCTAATTTGGTATCCTTAGGTTGAATACGTGACAGTGTAAGGGTTGTAAAGTGTGTGTGTTTATGGAAAGTAGCGTGTGTTTGCTTACCGGGGATCAAGTGTGTGCAAAGGGGATCCAAAGTGTGTAAAGGCGGTGCAGTGTGTGCCTATAGAGGTTCTATTGTGTGTGTGTGTGGGGGGGGGCATTGTGTGTGGGGGCAGTGTGTGGTGGGGGGGAGTGTTTGTGTGTGTGTGAGAGATGGGCAGTGTGTGTGAGGGGCGCGGTATGCGTGTGTGTGTGAGGGGCGCGGTATGCGCGTGTGTGTGAGGGGAGCGGTATGCGCGTGTGTGTGAGGGGCGCGTTATGAGTGTGTGTGTGTGTGTGAGGGGTGCAGTGTGTGTGGGGAGTACAGTCGGGTCAGATTAAAGCGAATATAGATAATATTTTACATATATTAAAAAAAAAAAATCCAGTTTTTATCTCCCCTTCCTTCTTACCTTTGCTCAGGGGGTGTGGGGGAGACATTGCTAGTAATCCCTGATGGTGTGTGTGTGTGTGAAAGAGAGGGGGCAGTGTGTGTGTGTGTGAGTGAGAGAGAGGGGGGCAGTGTGTGTGTGTGAGAGAGGGGGGCAGTGTGTGTGTGGGGGGTGCAGCATACGGTGTGAGGGACCCGTGTGTGTGTGTGTGTGTGTGTGGGGCCGCGGTATGAGTGTGTGTGTGTGTGTGTGTGAGGGGCCGCGGTATGCGTGTGTGTGAGGGGCCGCGGTATGCGTGTGTGTGTGAGGGGCCGCGGTGTGTGTGAGGGGCACGGTGTGCGTGTGTCTGTGTGTGGGGGGGGCGCGGTATGCACGTGCGTGTGTGTGAGGGGCGTGGGTGAGGGTACAGAGTGTGTGAGGGGTGCAGTGTGTGTGGGGAGTACAGTCGGGTCAGATTAAAGTGAATATAGATAATATTTTACATATATAAAAAAATTTTTACAAAATCCAATTTAGATCTCCCCTTCCTTCTATCCTTTGCTCAGTAATCCCCGATGGTGATGCCTTGGTGGTCCCAGTGGGAAGTGCACTCTAGCAGCATCTCCGAGTTCACTCTGACGAGATTGGAGCGTTGCCGTGCTAACTGCGGCAACGCTCTGACTTCGGGAGAGGAACCTGCAGATTAGAGCTTCCCCGGGTCCCCTCTCTCCTCTCCCTGCTGCTGACTGCCCATTTTAATGCCTGTGGGCCAGTGAGGGAGATCTTTCATCTCTCCACCAGCATATGAACTCTCAAATCAGGGCTGGAGCATGGATAGCACTGGCCCTGTAGGGGCCGGCAGGGGATCCTGTGTTCTGGGCTTTTGCCCGGTTTGCAGTATCTGCATGTGAGCTAAGCAGTATGATGATGCTCTTTCTGGATTAAAATTGATCCTATATATTTTTACATTTTTTTCTCTATCCTATTTTTAATTTGAAAACATGTACCTCCATCTTGGCTCCCTGCCATTCATTATTATTAATTCTGCCCTTTGCTCCTAGCAATCAGCATAATAAAACATACACCTGTTTACCCAGGCTGTGTCTGGATTGTGAAGTCAACTACTAAATCTTTAACCCCTTAAGGAAACAGATCATTCCATGGAAGCCAGACCATGGAATCATTCTCACAAGCTGTGCCTGCAGGGGGACTGATTGGGCCATCAGGCAGTCCTCCCTAAGTACAAAAATAAAACCTTAGTAAAGCCCCATAATATACATTTAAGTGTGTGTGTGCATGATGGATATATCAATCAAATATATATATATATATATATATATATACAATCTGTGAGATTTGAAATCATTTAGTGAATAAGCAAGTGCGCTGGATTGTGTATTTTGTATGGTGTGTGTGTGTGTGTGTATATATATATATATATATAATGTGTGTGTGTAATTTCATACCGTATTTTAATATTAATATATATATTTGTATCAAAATACACTTAGAATTTAATTCTATCTATATATTTACATAAAAGTACATATATTAGATATACATAAATATATACACGATGATATCCTTAGTGAAAGTGCAGTTTTTGTGTAAAAAAACATGTGAATGCTAACTTTGGCTAGGGTTTGTGACTAAGTGGCTACTAAAAAATAAAGGACATACCCCATTTTGTATACGGTAATGCCATGATGGGGGTATTTCTCATTCCTCGGCTACCATACTATCTCAAAGGCAACATAACCAGTCTGGCGAATATTACTGTACAAAAATGTAAATGAGTAAGTCTTTTATTATACCCTGTAACTTTCCAAAACAACATAAAACCTGGACATGGGGGTACTGTTGTATTTCTGAGACATTGCTGAATACAAATATGTGTATTTTATTGCTGCAACTGCTAACAGTATTATGACCTTCATCAGGGCCGCCATCAGAAATTTTGGGGCCCCTGACAAAGCACAAGGTCTGGGCCCCGCCCACGCCCTACCTAGTCTGCTGCCAATGATGCAGGACTGAATGTGGTGTGTATAGTGGAAGTGAATTAGAATGTGTGTAATGGATGTAGTGTTTGTGTGTATTAGATACTGTTTGTGCGGTGGATGCAGGTGTGTGTTGTTTGTGTGGCCGGATGCGGTAGGTAAGTATCATTAGATGCAGAGTGTGTGTTTGAGTGGTGAATGTGGTGTGTGTTTATCCGCCCTACCTAGTCTGCTGACAATGATGCAGGACTGAATGTGGTGTGTATAGTGGAAGTGAATTAGAATGTGTGTAATGGATGTAGTGTTTGTGTGTATTAGATACTGTTTGTGCAGTGAATGCAGAGTGTGTGTTTGTGTAGCGGATGCAGTGTGTATAGTGAATGCAGAGTGTGTTTGAGTAGTGAATGTAGTGTGTGTTTATGTAGTGGATGTAGTGTTTATGTGTACTAGATGAAATGTGTTTAGTGGATGCAGTGTCTGTAGTGGATATAGTGTGTGTATTAGACGCAGTGTCTGTTTATAGTGAATGCAGAGTGTTTCAATGTGTGGTGGATGTAGTGTGTGTACTGTGAATACAGGATGTTTGTGTAGTGGCTGCTGTGTGTACAGTTAATGCAGAGTGTATGTTAGTGTAGTTAATGCAGAGTGTGTGCCAGTGTAGTGAATGTAGAGTGTGTTAGTGTGTAGTGAATGCAGAGTGTGTGTTGCTGTGTAGTGAATGCAGAGTGGGTGTTGTATTAGTGTATGCAGTGTGTGTCTGTTGTGTTAGTGTATGCAGTGTGTGTGTGTGTAAATGTGCAATCTGGGGGGGTGGGGGTGTAGGGGTAGGGGAATTTTAACATAACATTTCTTTAAAATTTCATTAAATGTTTCTCCCCCTCCCTGTTTCTTACCTGTGTCCAGGGAGGGGAGAGATTCCATTCCCTGGTGGTCCGGGGGCATAGGGGGCCCCACGGCCCCCTGTTACCGCAGAGCGGGCCCAGCACACTGCCTCTACTCTTCTCTTCTCCTCTCTTCCAATAATTCTAGTGAGACCCGCAGCCTGCGTGCCGCGTTGCCATGACAACGCTCAGAAGGCAGCTGGGTCTCGCGAGAGTTATTAGAAGAGAGGAGAAGAGTAGAGGCAGTGTGCTGAGCCCCCTCTGCGGTAACAGGGAGCTGGGGGCCCGCGGCTGCACACATAGAAAGCGACCTCTGGGCCTGTGACAGAACTAAAAAAAACTCACACTCTTTCAGTTTTTATTCCCATCAAATTATGTTTCAAATCTAAATATTTTATGTGAAATGAAAGCACTATTTATCTTGAACAAAATTATGTATAATAAGTGTGGGTGCACTTAATATGAAAGGTGAATTATGGTTGAACAGACATATAGCTCAAATTTAAAGGTTGTGTTTACATTTTTTGATCTGGACAAGTACAATTGCATCCGTTCTTAAAGGGTTAATATACATTTAAAAGAAAACAAAAATCACATCGCAAATTTGTTTTTTAAAATTAAATGCAATTTATAGGTGATTTTCAATAGTTTTATTTTAATGTAAGTGGCAGTTCCCCTTTAATCAAATATTATAATTTAAAACAGGGATGCAACGTTATTATAGTAATATGCACATTGGAAGTCATATAACACATGTGATCATACACTAAACAGTTAGTGTACTTTATTCATTTTAAACCACCTTTTATTGTGCAATGTCTGGCTTTCTTTGGAGACCATTTGATTTAACTATATATGGCTCAGCATGTGCAAAGCAATGCCACAGGTAATTCTGAGTCGACCTTAAAGGAACACAAACATGTAGTCCGGACATTATAGACCCCCCCTTTCCCCTTGTCCCTAGTTATAGTAAAATCTTACATTTGTTCAAGTCTGCAGTTGCTGGCTCTGCCCCTTGATCTGCCTGCTTGGCTGACATCATCTGAAGTGTTGTTCAGAGCCAGCACAAGCCAAACACAGCCCTGGCCATATATTAATAATATTAATATTTATTATTATTTTTATTATACAGTGGAACATCGGAACTGGAACGTAATCCGTTCCTGAAGGCTGTTTGAGAACAGAGTTCGAAAACCGAATCAAAATTTTCCATAAGAATTAATGGAAATTAGATTAATCCGTTTCAGACCCCTAAATGTACAGCATTTTAACACTCATTTTACAGTTTAATAATACCTTAAATGAATAAAACCAATAAACACAATGTAAATGAAATGAAAATGTGACTTCACTTTACCTGTCAGCTCTGTTTGCTGACAGAATGGAGCTAAGTTTGCTTTATCTAGTGTTAAGAGGCCGATGCTTCAGCGTTCCAGAACAGAGGTTCCACTGTATATTATAATATATGTGTTGAATCAATGCATCTCTATGAGGAAAGTTCAGTGTTTCCATGCAGAGGGAGGAGACACTAAATTGCACTGTAGTTGCTATCTGAGGAGTGGCCTTTGGAGGTATCCCTAGGCAGTTATGTAAACATTGTATTTTCTCAGAGGCAAAAAGCCAGAAGGGAATGATTCTACTCACCAGAACAAATACAATACGCTGTAGTTGTCTTGGTGACTATAGTGTCCCTTTCATTCCTTTACTGTATTTTTTTGTGAATATGTGACAATTTATATAAGTAAGCATGTACAGGTGTAAAAACATGTGGAACTCTTTTTCTTGTGCTCCCTTGTATATACATGCTCTTCTTTTAATGGATGAATAAATGTTAAAAGAACACTCCATACACCAACACAAATTTAATGCATTTGATAGATTTTGGACTCATAATAAGCTCTTATTTCAGCATACAATAAAAAATCTTTATAGTTTTCATACACACAAAATAAAATATTTACACACTTCCCTCCATAAAAAGACTTTCGTATAAGTGTATGTAGAGGGAGGGTAGAACAGGTGGCTCAGGGCTAACTGTAATATACGGCAATATATATATTCCAATTATATAGAAATGGAAACCACTAGTAAAGGTTAGATCCTTAAAGGACCAACCTCCTGTGGATCCCAAAAGAACACCTGTATGGACACTCCAGAAATGTCCTGGGGCTTAACCCCTAAGTTTACAACAAAAAAGAAAGCTCTATCTAAGCACTGGATGTACAGATCCAGCAGTTCGAGCATATACTGGAATTATGAGGATAAATGAATTGATGATGATAATAATAATAATATTAGTTAGAATATATATACATATCAATAACCTCTTCCTGATCTAGAGAGTCATCCCAAAAAAAAAAAAAATAGTGTTACCAGCCAAATAGGCTATACCTCCCTAGTCCTAAACTGTGACTACACTGCATCTCAGACTCTTGACTTTAATGTCACTTATTTGGTCGCAGTCTGTATATTGTCACCAATAAAAATAAATAAATTGAGTCACAGTTAGAAATCCTAATTCCTAAACAAAACTGCATGCAATAGCAAATAATGGTAACCGGACAGTTAAATCATAAATAAACCTCACAGTTCGAGAGTATAGAGATATTTGCTTGAAATGAAGTAACTAATATATAGTACTGCTCTAAATAAATATTAAATATGAACAGTAGCAAAAAGTCTCTAATGAAAAGTGTAACACTCAAACTAATGTACTAATGTCCCGTGAAGAGAATAATAGTGTCAATCCTAGATGCATAATCAAATAATAAACATGTATCTCCTTCACAGGCTACTGGATAGAGTGAGGGAATTAGGAATGAAAGGGAGGTTTAAGAAAAATGTAAAATGCTATTGTGCAGGACCATACTTAGAATGTTGGCTGCCTGCACAACCAGCTGGGTACTTTCACTATGTGCAGGCAATGCTCTGAATATTGGAACTTGCAAGAGAAATATACACTGCCTGCGTTCAGCGGAGGTGCAGAACAAATACACTGGACCACCAGGGAAAGATAACCAAAGGTTAGGAAAAATTTATTTTTAATACATTATTTTAAATTGCACATGTAACAGATTCTGTGTATATTTGTGACAGTGTGCGTATCCGTGAGTATGTGTAACAGTTTGTGTGTATCTGGTGTATGAGTTTGTATTTTTTAACTTTGTATATTTGTGAATTTATAGTTGTAATATTATGTGTTTTGAGCCAGTAGAAGGGTACACATTGTGTGCCAGTTGGTACTTTACTTTAATATATTGATTTATGGCAGGGGATTGGTTGGGCCATTAAGAGGGCTTAAAAGGACACTACAGTCACCAGAACAACTACAGCTTAATGTAGTTGTCCTGGTGTCTGTTTCCTGTCCCTGCATGCTTTTTAATGTAAACATTGCCATTTAATAGAAAAGGGAGCAAAAATCAGATGCGTGTCCTGACAGGTGTGCCCTCATAAAGTATGAATGTTTGTCTGACCTATCTAATCTATCCCAGTTATATAATGGTTTTTATTTTTCATTCTTGCTTTTCAGGAATTGAGAAAATTGTCTGGAAAACATCCAAGTGTCGTAATAATTCCACTTGGTATGTCTACAATATTTTTCTGTTTTTATTATTTTGTTTTTCTTTCAGATTTGTCTGTTACTGTAAATTGGCAGTTTTGTTTCCCCGAATAAATAAACGTGACCATTTAATGCCCACTGAATGGAAAATAGGTAGATAAAAAAATATTGTTCCATTTCCTTTTTTTCTTTCTGCCTTTGCAAGATGTTTTCCTTAGAAAATACTGTGATATCAATGATCTGAACGGTATCCATTTGACAATTGTGCACAATTTCAAGTGGGCTCTAAAAAAAACATGGCTTTGAAGTACAAGCCCTGTTATTTTCTCCAATGCCCACACACTGCAGGTGCAGTAAATCTATCTTCTGATTGGATAACATTTAATATACTGATGCGTATACAAAAAACAATTTTTCCCTGAGGTTCTGACATAGGGATTTATTCTCTAAATTGTGAATTGTAATCAGGAAATTGCAAACTATAGACCAAAATAGTTAAACTGGAAAAGTGGCATGATTGGCAATGCATGCCTGAAACACAGCCAAATAATCTACCCAAATCCTCTCCTCACCCAAACATCACACATATTCAAGGGGAAAGTGACTGGCCACAGCTTTATTTAACATTCCAAAATAACAGCCATTAACCTCCGCTGTCAGGCAGGTATTATTCACCAGAGTTCGGTTCCTGCTCACTTTCCACGACAGAAACCCCCTCTCCCAATGCTAGTTGAGCCACCCATTTGATTCATGCGCTGGCCAGAGTACCTTCCGCAGCTGTAACAGTAACTGCAAGAAAACACAAACACCACAACCAACGTAAAAGAGAAGAGAATAGAAAGAAAAGGTAGAAGAAAATCAGAGGGGGAAAGAAAGAGAGCAGGAGGGAACTTTCTTAAACCCTCTAACAAATCCATAACTTTCTTTCAAAACTGTCCTTGGAAGACAAGGAAGTTTTTGGAAAACAGAGTAAACTGAATGTACCTTTCCTGGTTAAATACATTATCATCTGTACACATATGATCTGCCTAGAGTATTAGGAAATCCACATTTGTATAGTAATGACTCAAACAGGTTGCAGCAGATAGGGCACGCTTTGGGCTTTTAGACCCTTTTTTTGTGTGTCTGTCTTCCCCCAGAATCTTCTTTTGTGTTTCTATCTTCCCCCGGGCCCTTTTTTTGTGTTTCTGTCTTCCTTTAGACCCTTTTTTGTGTATCTGTCTTCCCCTGGGCACTTTTTTGTGTTTGTCTTCCTTTAGACCCTTTTTTGTGTATCTGTCTTCCCCCGGGCCCTTTTTTTGTGTTTCTGTCTTCATTTAGACCGTTTTTTGTGTTTCTGTCTTCCCCCGGGCCCTTTTTTTGTGTT